TAATTAGTATTTACATAATGTGCATTTTTATGATAGAAAATTTGGAATGGCGATCATTATGTACTTACTCAACAAGACATGTAGAATTTAGGTTCCAAGAGTCAAAACACATTTTTAGTAAAGCTTCAACTGCAAATTAGTCAAAATTAATAAGCCATTAAATAAATTGTACAGATTGTTAAAAGAAGCCTTTTTTATAACATTGCATAGGAGTTACCAGTATTACTGGAACAATCGGGTAACGATTTTAAAATACGGTATTCGATATTCATTTAGGTCTTTAAAGACCTGTGTCATTTGTGGAAGGCATACTCAACCAAATTCTTAGCAGAGCAAATATGTGAGATTGTTAAGTAACTATCAGTTATATCTCTACGCTTAAAAGATATGCAAAATTGTAGAATTTTTAATGTCAATCTAGGGAAACAATTGAAATCTTATACATTTCTTTTGGCACATATTGTGGGCAGACTTCATATAATAATTCTAAATTATTAGTCCAGATCCCACAGCCTGAAGTGTCTTATTCTAGGTAGTAATCTTTCACAATTATTGGTGTAAATGTAACCTTTAAAAGCTTAGTCAAAGCATAATTGTGGTTACTTGTTATATATGCAGTTAGTGCCTCACCAAAAAAAAAAAGGCAAGCAAACTACTTTAAGAGTCTCTCTGTAGGTTACTTTTCTTCTTAGAAAATGTTCTGCTTTATCTCTCTTTGTTCTAGTCACACGCAGTGTGGGCCAAATAATTTGAAATTTTACTTTCACTTAAAATACTTGCTTAAGAATTGAAACTAAATGGTTCAGGTATCGGAAGCCAACTTTTGTCTTTAAGCTGCAGATTAGTAAACAGTCTCTGTAATTTTAATTGAATATGATGTACTACTTTCTCCTATACTTGTGTTTAAGTAGATGAAAAAAATTTAATATGTAAATCTGTTCTGTATTTTCTGTTAGAAGTACTTTATGGGCTTTAAGACAGGCATCTGGACTATTGTAGCTCTAGCACCAGATATTCTCAGTCCTCAAACACTTTTCTCTGTTATTAAGTAAAGGTAGTTATGTTGATATTAACAAGTAATTAGTGCTGCAGGAGCAGATCAGTAGATGAAAGCAGTTGATTCTGCGAATCTGGCATCTTCCCTGCACTGTGTTTGGGAGTTGTTATTTTAGACCAGATTTGTGTTCCCTGGACAGAGTGCCTGTACCGTGCACATCGTCAGAGCTGTGCAGAACATCCGTTGTTGGTTTGGACTCTTGAGGACCCAGTTCCTTAAGGAGTTGGATCACTTGTGGATGAATGCTTCCAGTTCATTTTCCTCAAAAAGAAATCTAGTTTGCATACCCCAGTACTGCTCTGTCAACCAAACCAGTATGTGAGAACAATTAAAGAATGTGCCTCAAAACCATGATGTAGTTTCACCCCAAACTGTTAATGTAAATTGTAACGTTAAGAGCTGTAATACAGGTTTTGTTACCTTGGAAGAACTTTTCCACAGCCTGAAGGTATGTGTGTTTGCACTTATTTTGCAACTACTCTGTATGCAGATGTGTAAGTGTGGCCTGTTTATAGTTCTGTTGTGAAGTTGTATGGTTTTTTTCTTTCTTGCTGTAGAATTTTTCCCTGAATTATTTTTAAAATTGTAATACAAAATAATAAAATAAATAAAGTTAAGTTAATATGTCTAGCAAAGAAAATTAAAGTTACCAGGATTTTAAAGCAAAAATGCCTCACTTGGCCCCCAAATCTTACCTTTTTCTATACAGGGAGAAATAGAAAAAAAATCACTTTAATTTCTAGGTTTCTGTAGCTTGGGATAGATACACGTTTGCACAGAGTAGACTCATCTCTTGGATTCAAAATTATAGCTTGCGTTACTCCCTTGAAGTAGTCTTATTCCAAAACCTGACTTCATATGGGCAATACAGCAGCTAGTTCATGAGTATAAGCTCTTACTTGATATTCTAGCCACGGTTTGTATCATGCTTTAGAAAATTGGTTCATTGTTTTCATGAAACAAGTCAATTTTGCATTCTAACTGTTCACTGAAATCCTTCTTTCCATATAATACAGTTATTTTCATTCTCTCATTTTCCAGTCTTTTTGATGCCTGAATTTTTACTTTTCTTACAGTTTGCACATAGAGTAGTAAGAGTACATTTCATTCCTAATACTGGATGGAAGGCTATTCTTTTCCAGTTACTGACTTACTAACAGAATGATTTCTTTAAATCCTATATTATTTTTCTCTTCATTGATGGATTTTAGTGCATGGCAATTGCTAGGTTTTGTTTATTAATCTCCAGTTCTCAGCAGAGGTAAATTAATTGGAGAATTGTTTTATCTAAATGAACTTACTGTTGTGCTTAGTGATCTAAAAGATCACTGTTCCCTGTGGATAATTGTTTTTGTGATGGTGATTGTTGTGCAAACACTTGTTCAATTTTATTTTTATACTCTTGTTTTCTTGGTATAAATGACTCACAGGAAGGTATGCTTATGAGAAACAGCATGTTTCTGTGTGAGAAATGAATATATAGAGATTTTTCTTCCTTTTTTTCCCCTACTTCCTCTCCTTCCCTTCCTGTGTTTTCCCAAAAATGGTGAGAATGAGAGGCAGGGTTTGGATGAAGGTGGGATTTTGGTTACTAGGAGGTGAGGAAGACTGTCATGGATTCCTCTGGTATGTTAAGGGCAGATATTTGTCTTTTGAAACATTTCTCGGGCTGAATCTTGAGAGTGTGTGTGTACATATATGTAATCCATCCAGTTTTGGATGTGTGTGGAAACACTGCTCTGTGTGTGCTAATGAGGCATTCGTCATCCCTCTATTTAAAATTATGGGGTTTTTTTGCATATCTGTGTTTAAAACTTCCCACATAAAGCATAATACTGTGCTTGTTAACTCTACAACTATACCTCACCCTCAAGCTGCTTGTTGAAAAGTAGTAGCTAAAGGTCATGTATATACACTGTTTCATAAAGAGTTGACTGGATTTTCATATAAAAACAATTTAAATATTTATTAGCATTTATACAGCTCTGTATAGCTTAAGTGTTTCTCTGGAGTAGATTAGGTAATTAGGAACAGTTATGGCAAGACAGGTTATGTCAGCCACAGCTGATGAGTGGTTCTGAGCGTTGCCTTTTGTGCTGGAACTTAGTCTTGAGTTTTCCCTCAAATATTACCTGTTTTCCCTTTTTTTTTTTTTAAAAGAGGTTGGCCAATCTCCTGAGCTTATTCCTTATTATGAATGAAAAATCAGTGTAACACAATGAAAAGATTCTTATGACTATCTCAGTGATCAGTAAGATTTCACCACTCAAGGATGTCTCAGCAGTCTCTTATCCCTACTCAAAATATTCCTCCAACTTAAATTTGAAGTACAAAATGGAATATTTTTCAATTAGTTTATTTAAATGAAAGTAAAATTTGAAAACGGATTTCTTAATGTTTGTCTTACATAGCACCTCTTCCAGAATAACCATGTTCTGTAGAACTCAATATTATTTAGCATATAAGCAAATCACATGATTTGTTCTAAATTCCTGAGCCAGTCAATGTGTCTAGATGTTCAGCTTGAAAATATATCACAAAAACACAGCATCAGGAAATCTGTTATTCCTTTTACGAGTCCTGGAGGTGTCTGTTGCTTAGGTAATGTTGAAAGTGGTTTTACCCAAAAAATATTTCAAACCATTTTTTAAACTATTTGAAGAAATAATAAAGTACAAATTCATTTTGATTACTGAGGTACTTGGTAATATTATATCTCACATCTTTTGTCTGCATATCACTGTTCAGAGACTACTTTCAATTTGTTTTAAAGTTTAATGTTAATTTGGGAGACTTGCTCCTAATTTCACTTCCTATATAGAATTTATGTCTGAAATCAGACCAACTGTTGTTCTTCCATCTTCCCCCCCGCGTTCTTTGTCTGTCACCATCACCATTTTAGATAACTTGAGCTACTTCTCATTCTGAAAAATTTTGAATGAGCTAGAAATTGTACTAAACTTTTATCAAATTTAAATCTTGAGCTCTGTCATTGAAAGGATGGGAGAAGCTGGTGATCCTGTAACAAATGAAGAGATGAAGTAGAAACTACTATTTAGAATTTTGAATATGAAAATATGAGCAAATTGCATATAACAATATGACCAGACTATTTGGTAGTTTTGTGGGTACATATGGCATTCGAAGTACACAGTTCAATCTTTCATTGGAGTATTCTGATTTTTTTCTTTTTTTTTGTCCTGGTCACCCTGAAGCACTGCATGCATGTGGTTTTATTTAAATAATGCAAGGTTTAAGCAACCACTTTGTCTACTTAGTTCATACGCTGTGGTTTAGATTTTATTATACAGTAAGATTCCCAGTTTTACTTGCATAATTCAGTACTGATCTGTATTTCCTGTTTATAAACATAGAGTTTTACTCTGAAAAGTGACTGAAAACGTTGCTTCACAGATTCACTTTTTCAGTGGATCCAAATTTGTAGTTGCTGAATTAAATTTTTGATTTAAGTTAATTTCGGTTTCCAACTGTTAGCTTTTTTCCTCACTTGACGCTCATTAGTTTTGCAGAGTCAGTTTAACAGTATAAAGCTACCAACTGGCTTCTTTTTCTTGCACATCATCGAGTTTCCAAGTAGTTGTATCTGCATCTCTGTTGAAGAGGCTGTGCAGGTAGAGGAACTTACATGGAATTTGCCAAAATCCAATGTTGTCACACAAAGGGGACAACTTAACTTTCCTTTCTGGCGATGAAATGCAAGAACTTAGGAGTATGAATTGGATGCTAAATACAAAGCTGAGTTTGTAAATAGGTAAGAAGAATGCAGCTGTTAATTAAATTCAGATCATCTTGCTGTGAAAATTTGTGAGAAATACCATATAGGGAGTCTATAACACCACTTCCTGAATGTCACTTTGCAGAGTACAGCCATGTGTTGTTTTATTTCATTTGTTACAAAAATAACTTGTTTTGTTTTTTTCAGCAAACAAGAGCATGAGTCTTCAGACAAAACAAAAGAATACAATAGAAATCAAACTAAAAAAGTTGGATCAATTGAAACGAGTGAAGAAAACTCATCATTGTCAACTACAGAAAACGTTACTAGTTTGGAACTCCCTGACAGCAGCTCAAAGAATTCTTTGCATGAGAAAGGAGCATGTTGTGATTCAGATAATAACAAACAATTGATAGATGAGAAACAAAAATGTATTAATGATGAAAGTGAGTTGAAAAATTGCCAAAGCTCAGATAATGTTATCTTGAATGAGCAGACTAAAGTACATAGCTTGGATGAAACTACACTTTCCGCAATGAACGCAAGGGACTTAAAACTAACATTGGGTGAAGATGTTAGTTTTGAGCAGTTCTTAAGAAAAAGAGATGAACCTGAATCCGTTAGTTCAGACATTAGTGAACAAGGCAGTATTCATTTGGAGCCTTTGACTCCATCAGAGGTACTAGAGCATGAAGCTACTGAAATTCTTCAAAAAGGTAATGTTGCACCTTCAAAAAAAGCTGGACAACTCTCTGAACAAACAGATGAGACTTCTAAAGAAAGCAGTCCCAGCAGAATGGAAACAACTGTAAACAAGACAGATGAAAATGAAGCAAGCTGAAATTAAGTTAATTTTATTGTTTGTTATAAACAATGGTAAGAACACCATGGACCATTCCTGATGAGTGTGCTCATTGATGCTAATCATTAAAAATAAAAGAGCTGATGGTGGGGGGGAGGGGGAGAGGAGGAATGGGGGAAAGAGAGGGACACTTCTGGGAAGTTTTGCCTATGAAGATAGCAAGATAGGATGTGTGTATACATACAATGGAATTAACTAAATTTACAGAAGATAACGTGTTCAAATATATCTTCCTGTCTCTCGGATGTGATATATCTTATTAGATTGACATTTGAAAGGATGAATGAATTCTAATTTTTATAGTTAACTAGCCCAAGAAAAGATGATTTGTTTGCCAAGAAAATATTTTTTTAAATCCTTCCATATGAATATCATTAAACAGTGGAAATCAGTATGAATTCACTTCTGATGCTGAAATGGAGCACACTTATAATGATGGTTATTGGTCTGCTGATAATCTGGGTAAACATAACCCTTTGGATTTGGTGTCACATTCCCGTCTCTAAAAGCATGTAAACAGAATTATATGAATCTATGCACCTCTGTACAGGTGTAATCCTGCCAGGCTGTAAGCTTACCTTAATAAACTTTCAGTGAAAGTGGAATTATTACAATAAAAAGATATATTTGTGGGATTTTCATTGTGCAGGCTGTGCAGAGATACCGAACATAATTGTATAAAGTAGAACATACTGCTAAAAGCACTGTAGCTGTTAGGCTTATACCATTGTTTTAATTATTCTTAGCCGTAGACCTATAGGAATGGTCTGTAAGTCACACCAAAGTACGGTTTAATGTAAAAACTGTTTGAGGGAAAAAGAAGGAAACCCCCAAACTGGAAACACCAACTGGCGCATGCATTCTGCCATTTTGCAGCTGATACTGCCTAACTGTTACAAAAACAACACGAGCATAGAAGTAGAATTGTACAGTTCAATTTCAGGACTTTTTATAGTCTAAATTGTGTACAGAAAAATGGCTGCTGGTTTTGGTTTGGTTTTTTGTTTTGGTTTTTTTTTGTCTTTTATTTAGCAGCTAGATGTAGGAATGCATATGATTAATGGTAGCTTACTCTTATGACTTCGTTGCTCCATTTGAAACCTTCAGAATGTGCTTTTGACTTTCAGTTTTGTTTCTAATGAATGTTAAATGTTTTGGACAGCTGTTAAAGCACTGCTGTAAATTATTACTTTTTGAGTAAATATTTGCAACAAAATTTTGTCTTTGTGCATAATTTTATGCTCAGCTTAAAACTTTGGGCATAGTCTTCACACTTTTTTTTTTTTTTTTTTTTTTTTTTTAAATTTTTTTTTTTTTTTTTTTTTTTCTTCAAGATTTAGTGACAGTTCCCAAAAACTATTGCATTTTAGACTTGTGATTTTGAGACTTAATGGGGGATTTTTTTGTTCGGTTGGGGTTTTGGGGTGGGTTCTTTTTTTTAGAATTAAATGAGCAAGTGCCTATGCATAAACATGTTTTTGTAGCTGTCTATAGTGGTAAGATGTGCTAACTTCTGCAGATTATATAGAGATATTTTTCTGGGCCATCAGCATGCAATTGAAGTCTACTCTGTCCCCTTAGGTTAACTGGGCTCAGCTGCTAAATAAATCTAATCAGCAACAGTATTAAAATTTAGAAACCATCCTCTAAATAAACTACATCAATCTCAACATCTCAAAAATTGCTTCAAACTCTAAAGAGTTGTATGACTTAAATTTTGAATTGCATCTTGATTTTTCGTCCACGCAGGTTTAGAAGACTTTTAGAAAGAAAAGTGGAACAGTTTACATAGTCTCAGCTCTTCAAGATCTGCCACTTTAAGAACTTCAAATCACAAGACACACGAAACAGCTGACAGCAATAAATTGCAGTATTGTTTTGTTCTTTAAAGATTTTAGTGAAAACGTTAACTCAGTATGATTAACCAGTCCGATGTCTTCATGCATGTACACGTGGAAGATTACAAAATACAGCATCACAATGAGGACAGTTTAAAGGACTTAATCAGTTATGGAACTTGATGTGTATGTTACTGAAGGAGTTCCTGAATGCATCTGTGTTTAAACCCAGAGAAACCTTTACAGTATTTTAAATCTGATTGATCTTCCATGAAAATGATATATTTTGAAAAACGCCATGGTATGTGGTGTTGGAAAAGATTAGATTCAACTGGAACCAGTTGTATGATACTTGCTTGTAAATTCCTCACATTTGTCTTTTATTATGTAATTAATTTTTTTAAACATTTACCGGTTTAGTAATAAGAACTTGGAAGGATTTGGCCACTCACTGTTGAGAAAAGTTGGAAAATAAAACTGAGATTGAAAAATCTGCGTATTTGGCAGATGCATATATATTTTCTCAGATAATATGTAAAGCATTGCTTGTTTCAAACCATGTAGAGAATGCTTATAGAAAAGGTAATGTTAGGTATAAAACACACAAATATGTAGTAGCCTTTCCAAAGGAAGAGGTGAGAGATAACTAGATTGTTCTAGCAAGACTGTCAGACAGCTTTAAATGGGCAAGTAAGGCGTATCATGGAAACAGTGACATGGTATTTTTGTGAGGAAGAAAAACAAATTCATTACAATTTTTGCTACAGGAAGTGATACATCTGCTGACTAAACACTGTAGGAGACTGCATAATTGTGAAGGTTAATCATGTTATTTGGGAGATTTCCTAGAGATAAGTTAAATTGGGACTTTTTGCTGAAGTCACTCCAGAAGGTCAAGTTACCTTTGAATGCATTTTGAGTTATTTGAGCTCAGCTGCACATAATTCAGTTTTTTGTTTGTTTCGGAGTTGTTTAGAAGTCTTTTTTATCCATCCAGCCATCAGTAGTTTTTATTCTGTACCACCTCTTTTTTTGTACTTAGGATGATGGTTTATCTCAAGTTTTCATTGCCTTATCAAAAAGCAGTAACTTAAAGTTCATTCTTGGTATCCATCCATTCACCATTTCCCCTTATCTCAAGAGAGTTACCATAGTTACTTGAATAATCATTTCAGATTGCTTATATAACATTTATTCTTAATTTTAATGGAAGACTGATGTCATTATTATCGTATGGTCAGTGACCGCTGAGTTACTTAGAGCTTCCTCAAGTGCAGCTGGTGACTCAGTTTGCATTGTGCAGTTTGGGAAAGAAACTTTGATTTACCTGCGGTTCAGTTTTTCTTTAGCAGAAAGGATGAGTAAACCCAGGGGACAGAAATCAGAGGAAATCATAGCACGTACTGAGTTGTACATACTGGGTGATGTGTTTTAAACAAGAAAATTTCTATAACAAAACCATGTCCATTTCTCTTTTCATGGAAATGGGGAGAGAAAGAGAACCCTGGGAAATAGGTATTAAATCATGTTCTGTGGTGCTTTACTGCCAGAAGGCATTAGAAACTGAAGGTCAGGGTAAAAAATCTTGAACAACACTTGGTATTCTGCAAAACCTTAAATACAAGATCTCAAAGCTTTTCTGCAGGCATTAAGCATTGTTATTTATATGCTGGCGTGTAGAAAGCAGTTATTTTTTTATGCTGTAGCATATACTACTATTCCACCAAAGACTGTGGCCGTAGGCTGTCACAGTAGAGTTTTGTTAGAGACTGTTTAGATTTTGTGTAGGGGAAATTTTATACCTGATTGTTTTTGTTTTGTTTTCATTAGTGCTTGATTTTTGAGGCTTGTGAGCTTACTTTACCTAGTTGCATCCTGTATTATTTTGATGTACGCTTAATATGCCTCTAATAAAAAAAAAATTGGTAAGTATGTTTTATGATTGCTTGAATGATTTTTTGCTTTTAATAAAACCTTTACTTTAGTTTTAACATAGCTCAAAAGGACAGTTCTCAGATGAAGCCCAGCATGCTGTCTGAATGTCACATTTGTAGACATAATTTTTTCTCTTTAATTTTTCCCTATTAATTCAGTGCTAAAAGGGAAAGTATGTTGACTGGTCTTTCATATTAGTTTACAGACACTATGCAGAAGGTTCTTTGCTGTGTTCCTTTGAGTTTTGGATCACTGTTCTAGCTCTAAGGCACTTAATTAAAATTTTGTCTTCTGTCATTTCATTAACCCAAAGTAACCATGTTAAGTTGATGTTTCCTGTATTGCAGCAGATTTAAAAACAAGAAAAAATGTGGAAAATGTTTAGCTGTGGAACACTTCATTTTGAAGGAGGTTAGTGTAGTTGTTATGCCTGTAAGGTGCTATATTTATATAGAAATGTACTGGTTTTGTTGAGTTTTTCTTACTGCTCAAACCATTATTTCAGAGAGGCTGAGGTTTTTGTGACAACCACAAGGATAACGGTGATGTTATATGTATATCTACATTTAATTTTGGGCACATTTAGCTTCATATTAAGTAAACTAAATGCTCAAATTACATGTATGGCTGTATCACAATTCAAACCAAGGTTAATTTCATGATCGAAAAGCTTTAGCTTGTCAACAACCAGTTCTCCATTCTTTAAGCATATTTTAAGTAGCATTGCTAAATGAATCCCTTATGTTACAAATTAAATGTAAATAAACGTTGTTTCATATTTTAGTTCTCTAAATTCTCAATGTTAGCCATTTAATAAAAAAGAGCTGTTTTTTTCTAAAAATTGCAGGGAATGCATTAGCATATAGTGGTATCTTTATAAAGAAAGTTGTCTCGTACTGATAATGTGGTAGCCTGGAAAAGGCAATCTATATATGTTTTGCTCATAACCAGTATAATTAAGAGTTAATCCTTTTCACTAAAGGAAAGTAACCTGTGGATTTGTTTCTTAAGCCTCTTGTGACTTTTTCATTCTGATCCTGTCGTGATGTTCTAGCAAAAAATTGCTGTCCTTTCCTCTCTTCTAAGGCTGTAGAAGAGGAACGTGAGTACTTAATAGTTATTAAATTGTATATATTTGAATTACCTGGGTGTTTTCTGCCTGAAATGAAGATTGAATTTTGTGTACCAGTTTCTCAGGTTTTCTGCTGAATTCAGTTGAGATTTGTGTCTTAATCTTCTTGGAAAGACTTCACTTCCTTTTTGACCTAGCAAGTTGATGGCATGGGGTATAATTTTCCCAGGGTATTTAGTGAAGTGCAGTGTATTTGTTAGATGTCATTTAAATGGCTTGTTTTTCCCTGTCACACTCCTTTGTATCTTGGAATGTCTCAACCTCTTGATGGTTGGTGTATAATCAACTTTGAAGTTGTTGGCTGGTGATGGAAAGCAAGACGCTTCTATGGAGGAGAAGCAAAAGTAAGCTCAAAACTTTAATTATGAGTATCATGCAATGTGCAGGACAGGTGGGTTAATGTGCTTTATCTGATAAAGTGAAGCTTTTTTACTGATTCCTAAAATTGCAGCTTGAGGAACCAGAGCAGTTGGGCACAACCAACTTCAATGGCTCTGAAAGATAGCAGAGAGCTTTAAATATCTGTATCAGATAGAAGTCCCAAAAGGAGCCTAAGGCAACACATTTATGCTAGGAAAGCTTTTCTTCTATTTGTGTGACTTTCCACTCTATTTTCTTTCCCAGGTAACATATACTGGATGCTCTCCTGAGACCATAGAAAGGCCAGTTATCCTAAAGGAGGCAAGTGCTTGTATGATCTTCCTTGTTGGAACCAAAAAGAAGCTCTTAACATGTGACGTGTATGCTATTTTATATTAATATACTAAGATGTGACTTGGCATCAAATAGTGGTATTTCATTAGTCTGCTTAAGAATTAAGTTCTGTCAGTTCTTCTGAAGAGTCTGTTTAAAATACTGTTTAAAATAAACATCCTTGAAACCACAGCTTGTCACTTTCCGGTGACCTTTGTCTGAGACAGCAGACTAGTAAGTACCGTGGTGGAGAAGTATCAAGGCAGGCTGTGTCATCCCCGGCTTTCAGGCTGATAATGACTTAGCCTTTCTTGGGGATAACCTGTGAAGTTTCTCCAAGTTTGTTATAAGAGAAACTTCAATGTATAGAACTGCCATTGTTGGTAAACCTGCTTGAACTTAATATTGATTCAATTAAAGTAAGGAAGACAGACTTATTAAAGCAGAACATATTTTTAATACCTTAAAACTTATTTGTATTTGACAAAAGAAATCCATTGTCCTCTGGGCTCCTCAGAAGGCAGTCCTGATGATGCGAAAGGAAATGAAAGTACAATCTATGTTTAAAATACAGTAAGCATACCGAGTTTTTCCTAGCAAAAGTAATGGAAGTTATATGTGGATGGGAATGTATAATAATCCACTCTGTCCGGAATTCTGCTTCTCAGTTTTATTCAGTGGACTGAAAGATAAAGCTTCTTCCCTCCCCTTTGCAGTTGTTTCCCTTAGCATATTTAAAATACTAGTGAGGGCGTAGTGTTAATATCAAATCAGATGGTACATCTGTATGGTCTTTAAATATCAGAAGCAATGTTATGAAAGGTGTTTGAAAGATGAGCCTGGGACCTAAAATTAAAATCTTTAGTGGATATTAAAAATATGAACTGAGTACAACATAAAATTAAAGCATGACTGCAGTTAGAATTTTGGCATCATTCTTCTAGTTGACCCCTGGCTGTTTCATAGCGGTTCCTTTGTCCATTCTGCAGGGCTTTAAAGCCTTCCTAGTTTCACCACTAGATAGTCTTGTGCTTTTTACTTGTTTAATCTGCCTTTTCTCTTAAATTGACATATTAATGAACATAACAGAATTCAAAATAATTATTCCCAGCTTGTACTTTCCTGCAGTTTGCTGCTTCAGTTTCACAACCCCAAGAAGGGCTGTGTACCTGAACATTATCTTTCTATTATAGTCACAGATATAGTTGAGGGGAAAAAAAGATTATTCTCTTCCGTTGTAAACCTGAATCACCAATACCCTTTGGGCTACACCACCACTACATCAGACTACACTGCCACAAATAGAGTTAAGTGGATTTTGCTTTATAAAGAATTTATTTTACTTAGCTATTACAATTTTTTTAGATTAAGGCAGCTGAGTTTTACAAGGGAAGTTCAAGTTTAATCTCATAAATTTGCTAAACTGAGGTTTGTAAGGCTCCGATTCTGTAAGAACATTTTCAGTGACTGAGACAGCCCTTTTCCCCTGTAGCTGCTAAGTCTGTCTTCAGCCAATTTGTGCAGATACACGCTGAGCTAAATCACAGAGCTGATCAGGCTGAAAAAACGCTGCTGGCAGCAGCAGAAACCAGCATGGCCAGTTTAGGCCATTCCGTTGCTGCTGAATGGTAAAACACAGCCTAAGAAATACAGCTTTTGGATTAGTCTGTAGGGAATTGTAGACAAATTCCTACTTTGTCGGGGGAAAGCATTTCCATAAGAGGAATAAACACATTGAGCTTTCAGTGTACCAAACAGCTGCAAGTAATGAAGCTATTGGATCAGTTCCTTTGGAAACTGTCTGCTTATTATGGCTAGATCTCCAGAGATGTTATTAGTTGTGTATATTTCAATTAACTGCTGCCACTGCAGGTAGAAGCCTTTTTTGAGTGTTACCTATACATCCTTCAGTGAAAGGCTTAAATGTTATAATATAACTTTTACAATTCGCATGCATGTTGTGTATGGTTTTAGATCTATGCAAATGCAACATATTTGGTTCATGCAAGCAAGCATGTTGCAATAGGGGCGCCCTATTACAGTTACAGAAGACTCACTTTCAGCATAAATTCTGAAAATTCAAATGTTATTGTGTAGGCTTCTACAAAGTAGAAAACTAGTCTGCTACCCAGGAAGACATTCAGCACTCAACTTTAATTTTTAATTTTTTATGTATGAAAGCTTATTACTAAGGGAGGGACTCAAAATGAATCCCGGTAGTTTAAGTAATTAGGAAGAATGAAAGGAAATGTTTAGAAAAAGGGAACTTGATAGAGGGTAAGTGATGGCAGTAGAGGAAGTCAGGTGAAGCCTTAACTCCACTGGACCATTACTGCATGCCCATTATTTTCCATGCTTGTTTGTGTGCAACTATAATGAAAACATAACTTGGTTTTATTTTCCTCAATGTATATGAACAGAGTAATAAAGAACAAAAGGGGTGTTATTTTTTTATCATACTAAAAAGATGGTAGAGTTCAGCAACAATCCTTATACTCTCTTGAGCACAAAGTTGTCGAAACAGATTGTTGTAAAATTGCCATTATAGTCAAATTAGAGCATCTTGCTAATCCAAGCACGCTTCTGACTAGGTGAGCTACTCAATGGAGGGAAATGGGATTTCATCTCCACTCTCCATAAAAGTAGGTGAGATGTGCCTTCAGTCAGCTGGAGCTAAGGAAGCAGGGCTCCCCGAGGGCTCTGGGCAGCGTTGTTCATGGCCAGGACAGCTGTGCCTCTCAAACTCCTGCTAGGCTTGTGTGCTTCCAAAACACCCTTCCTAGTAAAGTTGATCCATAGACTTTATTATATATATATTGTTGAAATGAAATAAACAAAATTCTGCATCTAAGTGAACTGTGAGCTTTCACTGAGTGATTTAACTGCACTAGGAAACTGCTGTTTAGCAGCGTTATCTTGGAAGCTTTTAACATGCCATTACCTCTTATTGCCATTTGTGTTTTGGTAGTAATAAAAATGTATCTGTTTTCTAAGTGTTTTATATGGATGTATTCTTCATTTGATGTGCTTACACAGTCCTTACAAATACGTCGGTTCTTTCCATCGACTTAAAATGCATTGAGAGATCTTACAGTCCACTTGCAATTTTATGAGAGTTTCTTGACCATCTCTTTTATCATTTTGTATGTGACCCTGCATAAAATAAATTGGG